CCCTTGCTCCCGGCATTTTAGTCGCCTCTTACAAAAACGCATGGCTTACGGAGGAAGAATTCTGTTCCACTTCCCCATGGAGATAAGAGGAAATAAACAAGAATAAGAACTAGAAAGAAAAATAGAAGAAAACCCAGAGGGGTGTGTATATATGTGCTTGTACATGTATGTGTAGTGTGACCCAAGTGTAAGTAGAAGTAAGCAAGACATACCTGAAATCTTGCATGTTCATGAACAGAAAAAAGGACACCAGCAATCCTACCATCATGTAAAACAATTACGGGCCTTTCGTTTTACACTCACTTGGCAGGACGGTAGTACCTCCCTGGGCGGTTCTGTCTACCAACCTACTATATATATATATATATATATTATATATATTATCATATATATATAATATATATATAATATATATATAATATAAAATATATATAAAATATATATAAAATATATATAAAAAATATATAAAAATATATAAAATATATATAAAATATATATATAAAAATATATATAAAATATAAAATATATAAATATAATATATATATATATATATATAAATAATATATATATATATATATATATATATATATATATATATATTTTATAAAATAATATAATATAAAAAATAAATATATATATATATATATATATATATATCCCATACATAAACACACAACACACACCCCACCCACACATATTTCTAGGTTTTTCCTCCTTTTTCTAAATTAGCTCTTGTTCTTCTTTATTTCTTCTATTGCCCATGGGAAGTGGAAAAGAAATCCTTCCTCCGTAAGCCATGTGTGGGCATATGAGGGCGACTAAAATCCGGGAGCAATAGGCTAGTAACCCCTTCTCCTGTAAACATTTACTAAAAAAAGAGAAGAAAAACTTTTTAAAACTGGGATGCTTGAATGTGCATGGATGTAGTGCAAAATGACAAGAAACAGATGATTGCTGATATTATGAATGAAAAGAAGTTGGATCTCCTGGCCCTAAGCGAAACAAAGCTGAAGGGTAGGGGAGTTTTGGGGGGGGAAATAAATGGGTTTAAATCTGGAGTATCTGAGTGAGTTAGAGCTAAGGAAGGGGTAGCAATAATGTTGAAGGATCAGTTATGGAAGGAGAAAAGAGAATATGAATGTGTAAATTCAAGGATTAGTGTGGATTAAAGTAAAGGTTGGATGCGAAAAGTGGGTCATAATAAGCGTGTATGCACCTGGAGAAGAGGGGAATGTAGAGAGGGAGATTTTGGGAGATGTTAAGTGAATGTATAGGAACATTTGAACCAAGTGAGTGTAATTGTGGTAGGGGACCTGCATGCTAAAGTAGGAGAAACTTTTAGAGAAGGTGTGGTAGGTAAGTTTGGAGTGCCAGGTGTAAATGATAATGGGAGCCCTGTGATTGAACTTTGTATAGAAAGGGGTTTAGTTTTTTTTTTTTTTTTTCAACAAGTCGGCCGTCTCCCACCGAGGCAGGGTGACCCAAAAAAGAAAGAAAATCCCCAAAAAGAAAATACTTTCATCATCATTCAACACTTTCACCACACTCACACATTATCACTGCTTTTGCAGAGGTGCTCAGAATACAACAGCTTAGAAGCATATACGTATAAAGATACACAACATATCCCTCCAAACGCCAATTTTCCCAAACCCCTCCTTTAAAGTGCAGGCATTGTACTTCCCATTTCCAGGACTCAAGTCCGACTATTTTGAACATAACCGGTTTCCCTGAATCCCCTTCACTAAATATTACCCTGCTCACACTCCAACAGATCGTCAGGTCCCAAGTATCATTCGCCTCCATTCACTCCTATCTAACACGCTCATGCACGCTTGCTGGAAATCCAAGTCCCTAGCCCACAAAACCTCCTTTACCCCCTCTTTCCAACCCTTTCGAGGACGACCCCTACCCCTCCTTCCTTCCCCTATAGATTTATATGCTTTCCATGTCATTCTACTTTGATCCATTCTCTCTAAATGACCAAACCACCTCAACAACCCCTCTTCTGCGCTCTGACTAATGCTTTTATTAACTCCACACTTTCTCCTAATTTCCACACTCCGAATTTTCTGCATAATATTTACACCACACATTGCCCTTAGACAGGACATCTCCACTGCCTCCAACCGTCTCCACGCTGCTGCATTTACCACCCAAGCTTCACATCCATATAAGAGTGTTGGTACTACTATACTTTCATACATTCCCTTCTTTGCCTCCATAGATAAAGTTTTTTGACTCCACATATACCTCAACACACCACTCACCTTTTTTCTCTCATCAATTCTATGATTAACCTCATCCTTCATAAATCCATCCGCCAACACGTCAACTCCCAAGTATCTGAAAGAATTCACTTCTTCCATACTACTCCTCCCCAATTTGATATCCAATTTTTCTTTATCTAAATCATTTGATACCCTCATCACCTTACTCTTTTCTATGTTCACTTTCAACTTTCTACCTTTACACACATTCTCAAACTCATCCACTAACCTTTGCAATTTTTCTTTAGAATCTCCCATAAGCACAGTATCAGCAAAAAGTAACTGTGTCAATTCCCATTTTAATTTGATTCCCCATAATTTAAATCCCACCCCTCTCCCGAACACCCTAGCATTTACTTCTTTTACAACCCCATCTATAAATATATTAAACAACCATGGTGACATTACACATCCCTGTCTAAGACCTACTTTTACCGGGAAGTAGTCTCCCTCTCTTCTACACACCCTAACCTGAGCCTCACTATCCTCCTAAAAACTCTTTTACAGCATTTAATAATTTACCACCTATTCCATATACTTGCAACATCTGCCACATTGCTCCTCTATCCACTCTATCATATGCCTTTTCTAAATCCATAAATGCAATAAAAAACTTCCCTACCTTTATCTAAATACTGTTCACATATATGCTTCAATGTAAACACTTGATCTACACATCCCCTACCCACTCTGAAGCCTCCCTGCTCATCTGCAATCCTACATTCTGACTTACCTCTAATTCTTTCAATTATAACCCTACCGTATACTTTTCCTGGTATACTCAGTAAACTTATTCCTCTATAATTTTTACAATCTCTTTTGTCTCCTTTCCCTTTATATAAAGGGACTATACATGTTCTCCGCCAATCCCTAGGTACCTTCCCCTCTTTCATACATTTATTATTTTAATACAGTAACAAAATAGCCCCTAACCAAAATGCTAAATAATTTATTATTATTATTATCATACTGGCCGATTCCCACCAAGGCAGGGTGGCCCGAAAAAGAAAAACTTTCACCATCATTCACTCCATCACTGTCTTGCCAGAAGGGTGCTTTACACTACAGTTTTTAAACTGCAACATTAACACCCCTCCTTCAGAGTGCAGGCACTGTACTTCCCATCTCCAGGACTCGAGTCCAGCCTGCCGGTTTCCCTGAACCCCTTCATAAATGTTACTTTGCTCACACTCCAACAGCACGTCAAGTATTAAAAACCATTTGTCTCCATTCACTCCTATCAAACACGCTCCAAATTAAAACTAATTATTTTGACTATTTCTTAAGGAAAGGTCATTTAATTTTTAACATCCATTCATCACAATGGTAAGGCAACCCAAAAAAGGAAATTAGAGTACCATCACTCATTTTCAATTTCATATACAATACAGAAAATTACTTAATCCTGGTACACATACCATAAATAAACACTATGGCATTGGTTAAAGCCTGATCAGCCTCAATGTACTCTCCATAAAACCATTTTTTTTTTTGTACTGCAATGGTATGTTAATGGCATTATGTAAATAATCTTCCTCCCGCATCACCAGTCAAATATGTAATTGTCTAATCCCTTCACCTCAGGATGCAACAGCTAAATATTCCAAGCAGAGACGGATGACCAATTTTGCTCTCTTGCTGATACATGAACGATGGCTAAGAAAAGTAGTAGTAGTAGTGTATAAGAGACATTGCACGGCAGAAAAAATAAGTGCCACAATAGCCAAAATCAGAGTTAGTAAATGAATCAATTACTCAATGTTTCGTCTGTTTGTGGAAATGTGTTAATATTGTCTTCTACACCTCTCAGACTCTGTGACCCATAAAGTAGGGTAACTTTAGCCCCATAGGTCTTGAATTTTTCCTGTGCGTGCATTGTTCTCCATTGTTTGGTTTTCTCCATTCTTTGGTGTTTGTTCTTTTCTGCTGCATACTGCCCCACATATCCTAGATACTAGAAATATTAGGGATGAGGCATAATTCAGTAAGAAAAATTCATTATACAGGAATGAGGGTAGTGCTACTATAATGATCTACACTTCATGCACAATTCCCAGCTAGCCTTACATTTGCATCTTTGCAAGTAGCTAAGCCCACAACAGAATGATTACTGATATCCTCATCACCCTACTGAAGTCTCCTAGCAAAGGCTGAAAAATTTCATTACATCATTTACAAAGCCCATCTTGTGATGGAATATGAAGAGAAACATGATTAGCTTTTTGTTTTCACACCATCACACTGAACAGGATAGGAGCATAATATTAATGTACTCAATTTTAATTAAAAATAATATGCCACTTGGTGTCCCTCATGATTTGGGACAAGCCAGCCATAAATTAGTACTTGATAAAAAATTACCTCAACTTTATTTCCGAAGATTTACAATATGGAGACAACTCAGAAAAATATTCAGTAATCAAATACATCCTACACAATTAAGATTTATCACAAAATATATCACCATGGGTATATTTTTACATTATGGAGCAAAGGTATAAGTAAGCACTGAAAACTATAACCGAGAGGCAACATATGGCTCCACAATACTCTGATCCTTCTGTTAAAATTTACAATAATTGTCTACCAGAAAACGTAATTAAAGATCTACATCACCCAAAACCCAAAACTTTAAAAAACAAACCAACACAAATAGAAAATCACTAGCTCTAACATTCATTTTTCAAAAAAATATATGAAATAATTAAAATGAACCCACATAATAACTACCTGTTGATGGAGATGAGACATCTTCCGTTCCACCATTAACATTCGAGGTGGTTGTACCACTAGATGTAACAGAACCTGCTATAACATTAACAATGGCATAACCCACTGTTACAAATGCCAATTTTGCCAACTTTAATACCACCAAGAAGGCTGACCTGCAAAGAAAAAAATAATGAAAATTATGGATGCAATACAAGGATGAACAAAAGCCAACAATAATATGAAAAAACAAGGTATGTCACCTTGTCAGTATATATAATAAACCAATATAGGCAAAGTTGCTCTGTTATATATTCAGCATTTTAATCCAATAAACCATATCCAATAGAATTATCCACACAGTAGGGTCCTGCTTTACAGCGTTCTGCTAATACGGATATTTCAAATTATGACCAAAACTCCCTATACGGCTCCCCCACCTGACTTTCTAATACGGTCGCCGCACCCCACATGGTTTGTTTACATTCTCTGTGAGCACCGCGTCTATTATGTCTGGAAACTTTACAGAATTTCAAGTGTTTTAAAGTTATTTCATGTTTTATAAACATTTTTTTTTTTCAACAAGCTGGCCATCTCCCACCAAGGCAGGGTGATGCAAAAAGAAAGAAAATCCCCAAAAAGAAAATACTTTCATCATCATTCAACACTTTCACCTCACTCATACATAATCACTGTCTTAGCAGAGGTGCTCAGATATGACAGTTTAGAAGGCCCTCCAAACTGTCAATATCCCAAACCCCTCCTTGAACGTGCAGGCATTGTACTTCCCATTTCCAGGACTCAAGTCTGACTAACAGGTTTCCCTAAATCCCTTCACTAAATATTACTCTGATAACTATACTTGTGTGTACCTGTACCTAAATAAACTTACATACTGTGCTGGCATGCAGGTGCACATTAAAATCACTAAGAGCCTCTTATTAGTCTTGAAGATGCCAAAGTAATAATGATAACAATAATAATGCACAATAATCACACTGAGGCGTGTTAAATGTTGTATATTATGCTAATAATATAAGCATTTTCATTAATCCATCTATGATATATTTTCAAAATTACATAATAAACATGCTACGTAACATATAAACACACCCCACAGTAGAATAAATTAACATAAATGAGATGTTAGGTGTAGATGAATGTGTATCAACCAAAACCCGTCTGTCTGTTTACATCTTCTGCGACTCTCCTCTCTCACTCACTCACTCTCACTCACACTCTCTCTCATCACACTCTCTCTCACTCACACTCACTCACACTCTCTCTCACTCACACTCTCTTCACACTCTCTCTCACTCTCTCACTCACACTCTCTCTCACTCACACTCTCTCTCACTCACACTCTCTCTCACTCACACTCTCTCTCACTCTCTCACTCACACTCACTCTCTCTCACTCTCACACTCACTCTCTCACTCACACTCTCTCTCACTCTCATCACCACACCTCTCACACACTCTCTCTCGCTCTACACACACACTCTCTCGCTCTCCCACACTCGCTCTCTCCCACACTCCACACTCCCACACACCACTCTCCACACTCACACCTCCACTCACACTCTCACACTCTCTCACACTCTCTCACTCTCTCACTCTCACACTCCTCACACTCACACTCTCACTCTCTCACACTCTCTCACACTCTCACACCTCCTCACACTCTCACACTCTCTCACACTCCTCACACTCCTCACACTCTCACACTCTCTCACACTCTCTCACACACTCTCACACTCACCTCACACTCACACACACTCTCTCACACTCACTCTCTCACACCACACTCCCACACTCACTCTTCACACTCACACTCTCCACACTCACTCTCTCACACTCACTCTCTACACACTCTACTCCTCACACTCACTCTCTCACACTCACTCTCTCACACCTCACTCTCTACACTCACTCTCTCACCTCACTCTTCACACTCACTCTCTCACACTCACTCTCTCACACTCACATCTCTCACACTCACTCTCTCACACTCACTTCTCACACTCACTACTCTCACACTCACCTCTCTCTCACAACTCACTCTCTCACACTCACTCTCCTCACACTCACTCTCCACACTCACTCTCTATCACACTCACTCTCTCACACTCACTCTCTCACACTCACTCTCTCACACTCACTCTCTCACACTCACTCTCTCACACTCACTCTCACACTCACTCTCTCACACTCACTCTCTCACACTCACTCTCTCACACTCACTCTTCACACTCACATCTCTCACACTCACTCTCTCACACTCACTCTCTCACACTCACTCTCTCACACTCACCTCTCAACCACTCTTCACATCACTCTCTCACACTCACTCTCTCACACTCACTCTCTCACACTCACTCTCCACACACTCTCTCACACTCACTCTCTCACACTCACTCTCTCACACTCACTCTCTCATCACTCCACACTCTCTCACACTCACTCTCTCACACTCACTCTCTCACACTCATCTCTCACACCTCACTCTCTCACACTCACTCTCTCACACTCACTCTCTCACACTCACTCTCTCACACTCACTCTCTCACACTCACTCTCTCACACTCACTCTTCACACTCACTCTCTCACACTCACTCTCTCACACTCACTCTTCACACTCACTCCTCACACTCACTCTCTCACACTCACTCTTCACATCACATCTCCTCACACTCACTCTCTCTCTCTCTCACTCTCACACTCTCTCTCTCTCTCACTCTCACACTCACTCTCTCACTCTCACACTCACTCTCTCACTCACACTCACTCTCACTCCACTCACTCTCTCACTCACACTCACTCTCTCACTCACACCACTCTCTCACTCACACTCACTCTCTCACTCACACTCACTCTCTCACTCACCTCACTCTCTCATCACACTCACTCTCTCACTCACACTCACTCTCACTCTCACTCACTCTTTCTCTCTCTCTCACTAACTCTCACTCATTCACTCTCTCATCCTCACTCGCACACTATCGTTTATTTACTGTTTACTCACCTCTCACCCTACATTAAGAGTACAAATATTTTAAGGTAAGTAATGAGTGTACTGTTTATGCATTTTATCACTCTAGGGCACAGGCAAGTCCTTGCCCACACCCTAGTGCGAACAGGTGGCAGGTAAGTGATTGCTCACCACCCATTCAGTTTGTGTTTTTACATTGTCTGAACTCTATATATCTCGTTCTCTCTCGTTTACTATCTCGTTAACTAGTTGGCTCTCGTTGACGATGGCGTCTAAGCTTAGCTGTGATAAAGAAAAGAGTCATAAGCCTCTTACTTTAAGTGCCAAGTTAGAAATGATTAAACTTACTGAACTGACTTTTTTGGATTATGCTAGGTTCTCTACACACATGCTGTTATGTATGATAATCTATGTAACTGTATTTGTCTATACCTGAATAAACTTACTAACAAGTTATGTCAATGGCTGAGATAGCCATCAAATAGTTACATAAAGCAGCATATGTGTAAAGAACCTAGGATACCCCCAAAAAAGTCAGACAAGGTGACTTATTGCTGACATATAAAAAACTTTTACACAGCCACTCACCTCTCACACATTCATATTAATATTTCAAGTAACAAGTGTACTGTGTGTGTATTTTACTTTGTGTTTTTTAATGCCTAGTTCTATTGATAACTTAACATATGCTAGTGTAAACCTGTTATCTAGCATTTATGTGCATTTATAAATGGAAAAAGTCTTCCACTTTACGGCTATTTCCGCTTTACGGTGGTAGCCTGGAACCTAACCTACCATGTAAGTGGAGCTCTACTGTACTGATAAACATCTCCATTCCAAACCAACCTGGGTCAGCTGATATTGATCTCCCAGATCAAGAATCAAGAAGAGGGTTCATATAGTATCTAGAGCCACTGCAGATTCCTAACTCAACAAGGCTTATTTTTCATACAACATATATGACACCCCTAAGAAAGTTTTCCTCGCATGAAAAATTATTTGACGAATACAAAATACAAAGTGTAGTTTTTTGCTCTGCATACCCATGGGCTTTCTACATGCTTTCAAGTGTCGCCCATTTGTATGTATTATGTGGATATCAACTTCGAATTTGAAAATCTTAATTTGAATTTGTCTGCAGGAAAGCTTGGGTGGAGTCGGTGGTGCACCAGATGCTACGCAATTATTACAAGAGTAGCTTATTACTAGACAGTATGGAAAGATTCCAGTGCATGGAATGAATATGAAAGAGGCACAAACACTGCCAAAAATTACAGCCACCCAGAAAAAAGGAACTATATGCAAAAACATAATGGGGAGAGTAAACAGCTTATGCGAAAAAATTGGGTTGCATTTCATGATACTTTAAAAAAAGCTGAGCAAGCTTTTTTTTTTTAATTCTTAATTAGTCAATATTATTAAAGTTTTTGATAATGTTAGTAAGTTCTTTGTTGATCAAGAAATGTGTGAAGCAGGTTCAAGCCGCCCATTTCAAGCCGAATATTGCCTAGAAGGGCACTATTTGGCTTGAAATGAGTTATCCAAGATTAAATTTATATTTGCTTTCATGTGCTCAAAATCTGTGCTGTCAGGACAATTTTAAGTAAAATTATATACCCCCACAACCTAAATAAAAAACTTGTTAAAAAGATTAAGGCTTATGTCTGACAGTTACTGAATATTCCTTAAAAGAAAATAGGCAGGCCCTGCTCAAATCTAACCCCACTAACTTATTTTCTCCAATTTGACATGCCTTCTGCCTCACCCCACTTTTGCTTCTGATCACCTGCACTGTTCACTGTATATTAACCTGTTTTAGCTTACTCTATTAGGAATGATGAAGTCACTCATAGCAAAACATCTAACCAATATCCTGAACTATACACAAGTCTTTTTCCACAGGTTGTCAGTATCACCACACCTTTACAACCTGTATACAATATGCTATAATGCAAGAAAGTTTCCTTCACTCAAAATTGCAATTTTCTTTTTTATCAGTAATGAATGTATCAATTAAAATAATTTTTCTCCAAATTTAACAAGTTCAAATATATACTATACAATATTTTACCTTTTTGTTGGCATGTCAGTACTTGATAAGAAGTTATTCTTGGCTAGCATATCAATAATTAGCTTAACTCCACCACTCTTCATGAAGTTATACTGGAACTCCAGTGCCTTTTCTGCCATGGGGTTATGAGCTGGCATGAGTAGGGAGTACAGTACCTGGAGAAAACAAGAATCATAACATTAAAATTAATTATGTCTACTGTATTGTAGACCTGATTAACATGTTTAAATGAACAATGTTTAATACCATACTAATGGTAAGTCAAAAAAGCAGCAGTACCAATTGTAAAACGGTACAAAATTGGGTAAATATTCTTAATTAAAAAGTAATAAAATAAGATACGGAATATTATAGCCAGGGAACACATCTACTGAAACATGCATGTCTATGGGAAAATAAGTTCCAAGTTCTGAACACCTGAATTATGATTAGTCATCACAAACGTGACTTATGCAAACTGCTAGTTCTCCAAGCTAATCAGTATAAACTTGAGCCAGCAAAATTTTGGAGTAAGATCCGACAACTTTTAGGGGCAAAGCACAAGGCTCCTAACTACCTAATTCATACCTTCACTGATGAGGATGATAAAGATGTTGAGATTAAACTTGATGATCCACAGGACCAGGCTAATTTGATGGGTAATGTATGGGAGAAAATTCTCTCCCACAATAACAGTCGTCGATTTAACAATAATCACTATCAGTTGGTAAATGAATGGAGAGATGAGAACTTAGATGATCTACAACCACTACCTTCCATCGATACATCAACTCTTGAAGATGCCCACCCGCTTACTAGACCTATTACATTACTCGAGACGAGTCAGGTTATTGGAAGAATGCGAAATAGAACCCCTGGTCTCTCTGGAATAACAATGAAACAAAGTTCCTACCCAGAAACTGTAAACAGTCTTTGGTTAATATCTTTAATGCCATCTTGGCCTCAGGACATTTTCCAGTTGTTTTTAAGACTCCTAGGATGATCTTTCTTGCTAAGCCCAACAAAGACATCCATCAACCAGGAAACTATAGACCTACATCTTTACTTGAAGTCACTGGAAAAGTTCTTGAGAAGATCATTTCCAACAGACTGAACTACTATATGGAGTTTAATCACCTTTTTACTGAAAAACAATTTGGCTTTAGAACACACAGAGGTACCCATCATGCAATAAATGTTATTTTCGATACTGTAGCAAGTCTAAAACATCAGGGCAATTTTGCCCTAATTGTCACCAGAGATGTTCATAAAGCTTTTGATAGCTTATGGCATGATGGTCTTATATACAAACTTATTGACCTACCAGACCATAACTGGACCTTTCTCAGATTAATACATAACTTCTTAACTCAAAGAAAAATCATTCCCACCTTTCACGGCAGGTCGACAGAGCCTTTTATACCAACAGCTGGTGTCCCACAAGGTTCTTGTCTTAGTCCAATTCTATTCAACATTTATGTGAATGACCTTCCTCAACCAGAGTTTAACCCTTTGAGGGTCGACAGGCCCTCTCCGAAACTCGTTCTCAGGGTCGGCCAAATTTAAAAAAAAAAAAAAATTATTTTCTCTTATGAAAAGATAGAGAATCTTTTCCCGATCATAACGACACCAAAAGTTTGAAATTTGATAGAAAACTTACGGAATTATGCTCTCGCAAAGTTAGCGGTCTCGGCGATGTTTACGGATCGGCGATTTTGCCCACTTTGAGCCCCACTTTCGGCCAATTTCACTGTACTAGTCGACAAAAAACATAAATATTTCGCTAGAACTCCATTTTTTCTATCGAATGGGTGCAAGAAACCACCCATTTATAAATTCAACTATCCAGTACAGTGGTCAGAATTTAGCAATTTTGCCAATTTCACACAAATTTCAAAAGATGCCAATTTCGAAATAGGGTCCAGAATAAACAAGAAAGACATTCCTGGCACTAAAATGACATTTCCTCTAGTCATTAGTCACGTCTCAAGGCCCCTCTTATATTCTTTTGCTTTCCACTTGAATTTTTATTCTCACAAAAAATATAAGATTTACTGTTATGCAGACTACTGCATTAGTGTAAAAATGGTATAAATATTATTGGTGCACTTGTGAAAGAATATTAGACTCACCAGTTGACGTGTATTGCACGCTTGGCACGATTTGTTTACTTTTGAAGTTTGGTAAAAATCGAACATTTCTGCTACTTTGAGCTCAATTTCAAGGCACCTTTCATTGTAAAACCAGTCAAAATCATCTCAATTTCAGTAATATGTCTTCCATTCTATAAAATGAGACCAAGAAAACTAGAATACAACAACAAATACTATACGAAAATACACTGCAAAGTCGCTGATTTATTAAAAAAAAATGGAAAAAGTTTTTTTTTCTCATTATGCACCGTGTGCTGCAGGATTTTTTTTAGACTGTGCACACTGACCACATAGACCCATTCTTTCATATGAAGGCCTACCAGCTTTCTCCCACTAGATTTGAGGTCGCTAGAATTTATGAGTACTAGTACGTCAAAAACCCCTACGCGTAAGACGTACTAGTACGACGAAAACCCTCAAAGGGTTAATGATACAATTATAACGCAATTTGCAGATGATGTTATTCATGTTGTCTCATCAACTCCCGTAACAGGAAAATACAAGTATGAGAGAGTCACAGAAAAAATGAATATTGAACTTCGTCGAACAGAAATGGAGAATTACGACTAACCCTGACAAAGTCCTTGTTAGCACGATAGGATGTTTTGCATCAACCATCGAAGATAAAGGGGGTATCTCCATCAAAGGTACACAGGTAGCCATTAGAAACCCTAACAAGATCTTGGGATATGAAATAGACAGGTTGCTCCACTCAACATCACATGTAAATAAAAAGACCAACATAGCCAAAGCCAGTCTTAAGAGTCTCTTTAGATTTAATCAAGCCCCACCACATGTCAAAAAACATCTGTATAAAATGATAATAAGACCTATACTTGAATACCCATATGTCCCAATGTCATTAACAACAAAGACCAATATGCTATGGTTGCAACGGGTCCAGAATAGAGCTCTCCGCTTCATTACGGACACCAGGAGGAAAGACAAGAGTTAAAATGGCAGATTTACATGTACAACAAGATATAACTGCCTTAAATGTACAGTTTGACACCCTGAAGAGGAAACAACTATGCAATGCAAGAACTCTATATGCCAGATAGAGAACATCCTCTCCAAGTTGAAAATACCACGGATTATATCATCAATACTCCTCCTCACAGGACTCAAAGAATGTCTCTCCCCCAGAGGGCCCGTCGTTTTATAAAGAAGATTACCATCGACCAATGATACTGAGCAACCTCCCTGCAAATGAAGATGATTGGGTAACACCAGAACCCTTTTATGTTTACTAAGAAAATCATCACCCCCCAATTAGGGAGACCTCTTGTATAATATTCTGCTGTTAAAATTATGATACATTTACTATGGCATGACACCACCTTGTAAGAAGCTATTGTGTCAAGTAATTCTTTATAAACTGGCCAGAAAATTATTGCCTTCATTGTCGTTTAAATATCCGTTGTGCAATCGCAAAAAAAAAACACACACACAACAATTGCAACTTGTATATTTACTACCAATTCAGAGTCATGTACTTATATATCTGTTATATCTATGTGACTGATGGGTTAGCATTATACCCCTTCAAGAATATTATATTCCACATACACTTTTTAAATTGCACCAAAGTGGTTGGGCCACTTACCTTTTATATCCTACCTCTCTCCCCCCTCCCACCCTTTTACCAAGATTTCTATCCTTACTCATCCTTCTTCCTTACCCATCTTACTAAAGCTCTGGTCATAAGAAGAATTATGAACAATTTTCAGGAACACATTTATGTCAAGTTTGGACTGTATAGTAATTTTAATATCTGTGCTTGGATGCAAGGCACAATCTTTGAATGTTATAGAGGAGAGGATATTAAAGTACAATGTGATGTGATTATTATGCCTTGAGAATAAGAAGTGGAAACTTAGATAATGTAGTATGAAAGGCATAATACAAAATAGAGAAGGGATTGTTGATATGGTTTGGAAGGCTGGAGCAAGATAGGTTGACCAAGAGCACATGTAAATCTGAGTGACAGAAGGTTGTGTAGGGATATTCCAGAAAGTGGCTATGAGGGTGTGAAGGTAGTTTTCAGAGGTAGGTAAATAGGTAGGCATGCGAGACGAGGGGTCGAGTCAGATTGAGAGGTTGATTGCATGCATGCATGGGATATGGTACAGTATTTTACTTGAGTGTAAGTTAATATGTCCATGCATTTTCCTTCTTTGGGTTACTCTGCCTTGGTGGGAAATGGTAGAGATGATAAAAAAAAAAATGCAAATATATAACTACCCTAGGTATTTATAAGGAAAATATGGGTGTGATAAACTGAGTATTCACACGCTGACAAAGATTTTAAAAAGTCAATCATACCTGTAAATTGTAGAGAACCTGTGATGGTGAAGATGAAAATACAATGCTCTCCAAGGAAGGGGACATACTCTGCTCACCAATTTTAGCATGTTCCAAGCATATTTTCCGGAGATTATTAACTGAAATAGAAATTAAACCAGAAAAAATTGTCATTTTTTACATATAGAATTAAACTTTTAAGCAAATATAATTCTTCTGAAATTTTATTATACAACCTCTCCTCACTTAGTGATGTACTCGTTTACCGATGACTCGGACTTACAACGGGCTCTCTGACCAGTATACATACATAAATAATGTACATTTGAGTTGATTTTCTCTGTTCTGTTTATTACAATATACACTACAGCCTCTCTTCACTTAGCGACGTACTCATTTACCAACACCTCAGACTTATGATGAGCTCTCTGACCAGTATGCATGCCTAAATAATGTATATTAGAGCCGATTTCCTCTATTCTGTTTATTACAATATACAGTACACTACTGTGTAAACATTTAAAAATATACCAGAAATGTTATAAATGGTGCAAAGGTGACAAAAACAATATCAAAGACAGTCGACACAAACCCACTACCATTATAGTATGCTCCTCACTTAGCGATGAATTCATTTACCGACACAGTCTTAGGAACAAAACTCTGTCGTTAAGTGAGGAGAGGCTGTAGTCATGAAAGATGTTTGGCACTTTTATGTTTGTGCTTCTACATTCAAAATAGTTTTACAGAGCAATAGCATAAAATTTATAATTTTCGTAGACCTGAGCAAATGTTTACCCATCCTACAAATGTTTACCCATTCTGCTTGATCAGAGGAGAGGAACTAAATTAGCTCAAGTTCTGCTGATATTACACCCTTTACTAACAAGGGGCTTCAACTGAAGACAATTACGAGAGATTGGAAATGGAAAACCAAAACAACTCATAGTTATACAAGGCTTACACATGTGCCCAAATACTATGTACAGTACTTAACAATTTTGTACTACATTATGCATTCACAGAAAAAGGCTTATGAATTACCTGTATACTGATCAGCAGGCATAATATTAAGCAGTGCCCTTGCACTGTCCCTTAATTGTGATAGTTGTAAGGTACAGCCAAGGTCAGCTAATTGTAGAAGAAACTGTGTGTACTTGGCTTGACCAGACATTATCTGAAACACAAGTGTGAAATGGGTATGTTTTAGTCAGAGGGTAATCAGAACTGAGGCACTGAGTAAGAAACCAATTAACTTGTTAAATGTCATCTGCAACAATATCTCATTAACCATCCATACAATTCTGATCAAACTGATCTCACTTTAAAGCAAAATTAACGAGTTTTAAGGTGATATGGGGCCAAATCACTATGTGGCCATGACTGCATGTTCAAACATCACATTATTCTCAGGGAGACTGCCAGTGAAGATAAAAGTGGGGCAAATGTATTTTGGGACCTGACAAGCAGTTTAAGTGTGAGCAAAGTAACATTCCAGACTCCAAATCCAAATGCCAGACTCCAAATCCTGGAGCTGAGAAATACAGTGCCTGCACTCTGAAGGAGGGGTGGAGATGTTTTGTAGTTTGGAGGGGCATCTGAACTACATTATCAGGGTGCCTCTGGCAAAAATCTTATTTTAGCAATATATGTATGCCTTAAAGCCATCTCAAAGAAATAAGTTTAGTTAAGACTTAATATATTAGGTTACAAAAATTATAGAAAACTTACAACACCAGGAAGACAATTTTCAGCTTCTACATTAGGTCCCTCATATGGATGCTGAGGAGATCCTGTGGAAGAGTCTGAAGAGCTGTCTGGAGACGATGGCATATTGCTTCCCACCTGGACAAGCTTCGCTGTTAATACCTAGGCAGAAAAACAACAATTACCATGTTAAGTCCAAGTGGTAAATACACCAAGAGCACTGGGATCATGGGAAACAGTTGCTCATTAAAGAAAAAATCTTGCAGACCAATACTTCATGAGTAATTCTTTAATATTTCTTCAAAGTCATACTAACTACTAAGAAAAAATGCCAAGAAGCACTGCTGGTCAGAAATCAGTAAACATTTGAAGATAAAATTCAGAACTGTGAGAACATTGTATAACATAGCCAATACATTCGTACAGTAACTATAAAGCCTAATCATAGCACCGATATACCATACAACCTAATGCCAAAGAACATGTCAGGCAAAGTATGACACCAACAAATGTAGCCATCAATAAATATCAAGTTATCTCTATTACGGGCTCCGGGGGATCATCACCCCTGTGGCCCAGTCTCAGTCCAAGCCTTTCAAATTGAAAAAGAAATATCAAGAGGATGAAGAACTATTAAAAATCCCCAAGATGGTAAAGTTTAGACAATGCAGGTCAAAATATGTAAGTTTTACCTACCATCTTACACATTCATGAGACAGGAAAGATAGGGAATCCTACCAGTCAAAAATGCTGAACAGGCTTTTCTACTCTACAGGATGGTACTACAGTACCACCCTTGGTAGTGCAATTAGAACAAGAAATTAAAAAAAAATTATTTCAGTTAAGCATGACATTAAGGGCATAAGATGGCCTTAAACAGTTTAACTTACCATTTTATCTCTGAGAGGCATGTGAGCAATGATCTTTTTATCATCTACAGGGTCTATTGGATCTGTATTTAAATAAAGTTCTACTTTCACATTTGGAGCTGTAGATTTCAATCGATGAAGTACCTAAAATTAAAATGAAATACAAGGATTCTAGATACTCCGTAAAAATATATGTACAGAAAATTGTTGCAATTAAAAAATATAACTCATTGTTTCAACTGTTTTGTACCAAATACCCTTATAATAAGCAAGAGAAAATGTCATGAGGCAACTAACCTGCCTCCTTATAGAACCCATCGTGTCATTGGTATGTGTCCATACATCAATCTCATCAGGCTGCCGGCCTTGAACAGGAAATCTTACTAACAATGACAGGTGCTTTCCTCTTGATGCTCTGAAGGAAGAAAACAGCACATGGATGAATGAATAAAATTAGTATTTTTAAGTTGTTCAAATTATTTCAATTATAATTCCTTATTATACATGGTATCAATAAAATTGGATAGCAAATTTAATACCTTCCAAGAGGAAGAATAGAGCGGTCATCCCCAAAGTCACCATCACATTCAGATACATATTCATATAAAACTTTAAGGACTCGGCACATTCTTGTAGTTTCTTGTCGAACTCTATTAATAGAATCCTTATCCTGATCCAACACTGATACAGTGTCATACATTGCCTGAAAAGAAAATTTATTAAAAATTAGTCCTCACAATAAGCAAAGTAATCAGTCACAGGACAAAGCATTGCTTATCAACAAATGATACTTTTATTTTATGTGAAGTGTTCAATCTATGCAGTTCATTCAGCACTAAGAAATGATCGAGGCTCCATTTCCCACAGCTGCCCTAATAGCAACACTGGTAAAGAATTTTGCTGTACATCAACCTGTTCCATAAGTAACAGTCTCACTTAAGTTGAAAGAGTAATCCCTCTACAACAGCTTCAATGCTTTCGATATACTTTTGGTGGGTTTGAAGAGTTTTCCTACTCCTGCAGCCTGGTGCAGGACCAGGCTTGGCTGGTGCTTGCCTGGTGAACAAGGCTGCTGCTACTGGCAGACCGTTCACCTATGTATTCATCTCAGCCCGGATGAACCATCACTTAGCAGAGGTGCTTGTCAAGTCTGATATTGTCTGGCAAGATGTTAAATAGTCTGGGCCCATGCAAATTGATACAATGTACTCACTGTGTTTACAGCACCCCTGCTTTTTGCTGGGTTTATTTTACATTTTCTCCCATCTCTCTTACTCTAGTATGTTATGACTGCACATTTGGGACTAGGCCCTTGTGAATCTTTCATACATAATGCTGTATCATGTGCATGCCTTCTGCTCCTTTATTCCTGAGAAAACACTGAGGACTGAGGCATTCCCAGTAATTAAAACAGACCCTTTCAGTGAAGACTGCTGATGTTCCTCCTGCTTTGAATTGAGAAAACCATTCAAAACACTTGTCTGACCCTTTGTTTCATCACCAAATGCTTGAAGAAGCATTTTCAAAAAGAAAAAGAAAGAGAAAAAGAAAAAAGAAAGTGTATTCTTTCTTCTCAAGATTCCGGTGTTACACAAAAAATGCAACAATGCACTGATAAAAAAAATTGCCCAGCTAACCTAAATGGAATGATCAACTTCACTGAAATGCACCATGCTACTTCACGAAGGAGTGTATTACTCATCATGATCTACGCTGCCACTACCCTAGTCCACCCAGGAAGCACACAAAAATTTGAGTATGTTAAGTTTTTGATAGCAACCGCCCAGGGAGGTACTACTGTCCTGCCAAGCGAGTGTAAAACGAAAGCCTGTAATTGTTTTATATGATGGTAGGATTGCTGGTGTCCTTTTTTTCTGTCTCTTAAACATGCAAGATTTCAGGTACATCTTGCTACTTCTACTTACACTGAGGTCACACCACACATACATGTACAAGGATATATGTACATACCCCTCTAGGTTTTCTTCTATTTTCTTTCTAGTTCTTATTTATTTCCTCTTATCTCCATGGGGAAGTGGAACAGAATTCTTCCTCCGTAAGCCATGCGTGTCGTAAGAGGCAACTAAAATGCCGGGAGCAAGGGGCTAGTAACCCCTTCTCCTGTATATATTACTAAATTTGAAAGGAGAAACTTTCGTTTTTCCTTTTGAGCCACCCCACCTCGGTGGAATACGGCTAGTACGTTGAAAGAAAAGAAGAAAGAACTTTTTGATAGCACCTCACGTGTGTTATCACTCCATGATCACACTTGTCAAATCCCTTTGTAAAAAACCGTGTCTACCACATCCATAATTGTCACAGTGGTATAGTATTTGTGACAAGCGTGGTATTCCAGCTCTAAATCCAAGCTGGTTTGGGCTGTGCAGGTTGTACTGTTCCATAAAATTTATATTATGGCATCTCATCACTCTTTCAAAGACTTATGGTGTGCAATATGGGCTATTAGTAAGTAATTCTTGGCTAGTGCTCTACTTTCTCTACACCAAGGAGCTACATCTGCACTCTTTAAAGCCTTTGGTATTTCATTTCACCTAATTCTTTATAAATTCTTTAATCTTATGTGTGGTGTTCCAAAGTATTGGAATCATTGAATATCAGCAAATTTTGATATCTGGTATCTAAAAATCAAATGTCAGTATAAGTGGAAATAGGCTGATTTTGAAAATAACGGTAATGGTCTCAGTAGCAGTTAGTACTGGCTAATTATGATGACATCAGTATAGGTTTCAGTATCAGTGGGTAGCAAATAATTATATCGGTATCAGCCTAAAATTGAGTACTGTTATAAGCAAAAACAAAAATAATATTCTGTCACTACTTACATGTGCATACTGTGTGAATTTATTTAATTTAGGTGGTCAGCTTTAGTCCTCTGTTGTGAAATCTTACTGAATAAAGCAGTGAACGACTTTTGACTCCTAGTGATTTGTAAACTTTCCTTTCTTCCTCTCTGCATTTACAAAGGATTAGAATCTTACCTTAAGCCGAGACATACAGCTTGAAAGGAAGTCATCATGAATGATAACCTGATTGGCTTGAAGCCTTGGCCCAAGATTTGTGTAAGTTTCTCGCAACAATTCAATGGCACGAGATGCAATATCTTCCGTCCCACATAATACCACCTGTTAGGAAAAAATATTAAGTATTACACTTAAAAGGTTTGAAACAACTATTCCTAAAGCAATTAATACAACTTCTCTAATTTAGTGTAAGAGTAAAAGCTTCTCAACTGTTCAATATACAACAGTATTACTTCAAAAATAAAAGAAATTTTCATATATGATAATGTAATACTCACTCTCCAGACATAATCTACACCTATAAGGTCATCATCATCCATAAGGTATACTCTCCTTTTGAGAATCAGTTTACCTTCTTTGGAATTAACAGCTTTAAAAAAACGATCAAAACACCTGAAAAATAAAAGTGGGCCTCAGACATTGTTTCATAACTCCATAGTTTTACTAAGAGATATTAAAGTAATTTATTTCTGTAATCATTTTACTTTATCTCAGCAAGTCTTAGAATTTTCACAAAATTTTGTTACTACCAAAAATTCATTGTAATATACAGTGGACCCCCACATAACGAGTACCTCCGAATGTGACCAATTATGTAAGTGTATTTATGTAAGTGCATTTGTACGTGTATGTTTGGGGGTCTGAAATGGACTAATCTACTTCACAATATTTCTTATGGGAACAAATTCGGTCAGTACTGGCACCTGAACATACTTCTGGAGTGAAAAAATATCGTTAACCGGGGGTCCACTGTATATCCAACAAGCTATAATTTTTTTTTTTCAACTTCCTGGCCATCTCCCACCAAGGCAGGGCAACCCAAAAAAGAAAACTTTCACCATCATTCACATATAATCACTGTCTATACATATTTATTGCAGAGGTGTGCATATATTATACAAATATTACACAATAAAAAAGGGTTGGAGAGAGGGGGTAAAGGAGGTTTTGTGGGTAAGGGGCTTGGACTTCCAGCAAGCGTGCGTGAGCGTGTTAGATAGGAGTGAATGGAGACGAATGGTACTTGGGACCTGACGATCTGTTGGAGTGTGAGCAGGGTAATATTTAGTGAAGGGATTCAGGGAAACCGGTTATTTTCATATAGTCGGACTTGAGTCCTGGAAATGGGAAGTACAATGCCTGCACTTTAAAGGAGGGGTTTGGGATATTGGCAGTTTGGAGGGATATGTTGTGTATCTTTATATGTGTATGCTTCTAGACTGTTGTATTCTGAGCACCTCTGCAAAAACAGTGATAATGTGCGAGTGTGGTGAAAGTGTTGAATGATGATGAAAGTATTTTCTTTTTGGGGATTTTCTTTCTTTTTTGGGTCACCCTGCCTCGGTGGGAGACGGCCGACTTGTTGAAAAAAAAAAAAAAAAAATTATAATAAAATTATCAGAAACTTTAGATTCTTTGCTACAGCAGATCTTCTTAAATATGTATATCGTAGTGATTTTAGGAGTAAAAATGTGTGCAAATTACTTCAAATTTGAAGTTAATCCATTATTTATTAATAGTAATAAGCATTAGGAAAGTTTAAAAAATAAAACTGAACATAGTGACTGGTAACTAATAGTTAATACTTACTTCATGCCATTCTCAGTTAACAACGAGGGATCAAGTAGCAAGATGTTGTTCTCAAAGAAGTCCTTGTTGATTTCAGGGTCAAGATCTGGCTCATCCCCCATAAGTTTTGAAAACCATTTGAAACAGGACTCTCGATCGACAGTGAAAACAGCACTCTCCGCTAGACAGTTCCAAATCTGTTTAGCCTGGGGTGCACACAACCATAACTGCCCATCCTATAAAAAAATTAGATATTAATGCCCTAAAATTTTTACCAAAATATAGTAATGACAAAAATACATTTGCCACTTCATAACCTTCCTCTCCTTCCTTCCACACCCCACCCCTCCTCTACACAGGCATCTGCTCTTCCCCTCATCTCTTCTAACCATTCTTGCTTCCCCTTCCTCCCTCCTCCCTTAGTCTTCCCTTTCCTCTCTTCCACAATCTTCTCCCTCCCTCCCTCCTTTACCCTTATCTCTTCCCTTCCTCTCTCACTTTCATCCTCACTTCCTCTCTCATCCCTTTCCCTCCTCTTGTCCCTCCTTTCCTCCAGCTTATCCATCCTTTGCTCAATTTCTTAACTTCCTTCCTCACTTGCCCCTCTCCTCTCTTCTGCTTCCCCCCCTTATTTTACTCTATTCTACTTTGACTGCCTCCTTACTCCCCATCACTGCTGCCTCCTCCCTCATTCTCCATTCTCTTTTCTCACCCCATTCTCTCCTCCCTCATTCACTTCACAGTAAGAAAACCTATCAAAATATAGTTTACAATACTAATCTGATATCCCTTAACTATATAAGGATATTTTACTAACCTTTAGTAAAAACCTAAGAAAACTAAGGCGTTCTTGAACTTGGTATATATGATTATACCGCCGATCAGGTATAATATCTGCTGGATTCAGGTCAGGATTTTCTGCAAAATGCAATGAAATCTGAGTTAAATCAATTTTCATTTTAAAACACTTGTAGGTTAAATAAGAATACATTAGTCCCCCCAAATTCCCAGGAGTTACGTTCGAAGACCACCTGCGAATTCTAGACCTGGTTAAAAAAAATGCCCATTTTTGTAGTTCAAATCCTAAATATGCCCCCAAAACACTTAAATTTAATTTCAAACTCAGTTTCATACACCACCCTTAAAAAAAAAATGAATGTAAAGATAAACCCATATATAGTACTGTACTGCTATGTCTCCCGCAGTGTTAGAATATAAAATACTGATGTTACCCCCGTATGTACTGTAATTCATGCAAGCCCATTTTCTTTGGTATATGGATTTGTCAGTTAAAAACAGAGTAGGGGAGTTAGTAGATGGGGAGATGGAGGTATTAGGTAGATGGCGAGAACATTATGAGGAACTTTTAAATGTTAAGGAAGAAACAGAGGCAGTAATTTCATGCACTGGTCAGGGAGGTATACCATCTTTTAGGAGTGAAGAAGAGCAGAATGTAAGTGTGGGGGAGGTACGTGAGGCATTACGTAAAGTGAAAGGGGGTAAAGCAGCTGGAACTGATGGGATCATGACAGAAATGTTAAAAGCAGGGGGGATATAGTGTTGGAGTGGTTGGTACTTTTGTTTAATAAATGTATGAAAGAGGGGAAGGTACCTAGGGATTGGCGGAGAGCATGTATAGTCCCTTTATATAAAGGGAAAGGGGACAAAAGAGACTGTAAAAATTATAGAGGAATAAGCTTACTGAGTATACCAGGAAAAGTGTACGGTAGGGTTACAATCGAAAGAATTAGAGGTAAGACAGAATGTAGGATTGCGGATGAGCAAGGAGGTTTCAGAGTGGGTAGGGGATGTGTAGATCATTGAAGCATATATGTGAACAGTATTTAGATAAAGGTAGGGAAGTTTTTATTGCATTTATGGATTTAGAAAAGGCATATGATAGAGTGGATAGAGGAGCAATGTGGCAGATGTTGCAAGTATATGGAATAGGTGGTAAGTTATTAAATGCTGTAAAGAGTTTTGATGATAGTGAGGCTCAGGTTAGGGTATGTAGAAGAGAGGGAGAATACTTCCCAGTAAAAGTAGGTCTTAGACAGGGATGTGTAATGTCACCATGGTTGTTTAATATATTTATAGATGGGGTTGTAAAGGAAGTAAATGCTAGGGTGTTCGGGAGAGGGGTGGGATTAAATTTTGGGGAATCAAATTCAAAATGGGAATTGACACAGTTACTTTTTGCTGATGATACTGTGCTTATGGGAGATTCTAAAGAAAAATTGCAAAGGTTAGTGGATGAGTTTGGGAATGTGTGTAAAGGTAGAAAGTTGAAAGTGAACATAGAAAAGAGTAAGGTGATGAGGGTGTCAAATGATTTAGATAAAGAAAAATTGGATATCAAATTGGGGAGGAGGAGTATGGAAGAAGTGAATGTTTTCAGATACTTGGGAGTTGAAGTGTCGGCGGATGGATTTATGAAGGATGAGGTTAATCATAGAATTGATGAGGGAAAAAAGGTGAGTGGTGCGTTGAGGTATATGTGGAGTCAAAAAACGTTATCTATGGAGGCAAAGAAGGGAATGTATGAAAGTATAGTAGTACCAACACTCTTATATGGGTGTGAAGCTTGGGTGGTAAATGCAGCATCGAGCAGATGGTTGGAGGCAGTGGAGATGTCCTGTTTAAGGGCAATGTGTGGTGTAAATATTATGCAGAAAATTCGGAGTGTGGAAATTAGGAAAAGGTGTGGAGTTAATAAAAGTATTAGTCAGAGGGCAGAAGAGGGGTTGTTGAGGTGGTTTGGTCATTTAGAGAGAATGGATCAAAGTAGAATGACATGGAAAGCATATAAATCTATAGGGGAAGGAAGGCGGGGTAGGGGTCGTCCTCGAAAGGGTTGGAGAGAGGGGGTAAAGGAGGTTTTGTGGGCAAGGGGCTTGGACTTCCAGCAAGCGTGCGTGAGCGTGTTAGATAGGAGTGAATGGAGACAAATGGTACTTGGGACCTGACGATCTGTTGGAGTGTGAGCAGGGTAATATTTAGTGAAGGGATTCAGGGAAACCGGTTATTTTCATATAGTCGGACTTGAGTCCTGGAAATGGGAAGTACAATGCCTGCACTTTAAAGGAGGGGTTTGGGATATTGGCAGTTTGGAGGGATATGTTGTGTATCTTTATATGTGTATGCTTCTAGACTGTTGTATTCTGAGCACCTCTGCAAAAACAGTGATAATGTGCGAGTGTGGCAAAAGTGTTGAATGATGATGAAAGTATTTTCTTTTTGGGGATTGTCTTTCTTTTTTGGGTCACCCTGCCTCGGTGGGAGACGGCCGACTTGTTGAAAAAAAAAAAAAAATGTACAGTAAATATACAGTAGTGCCCGCTTTACAGTGTTCCGCTTTACGGCTTTCCGCTAACATGGACATTTCAAATTATGACCAAAACCTGCTATATGACTCCCCCCACTTGACTTTCTAATGCAGTCACTGCGCCCCACCCAGTTTGTTTACATTCTCTGTGAGCTCCATGAGCACCTCTCTCAATTATGTCTGGCAATTTTCCAAAATTTGAAGTATTTTTAAGTTACAGTGGTACACCGAGTTTTGTACATAATTTGTTCCAGAAGGCTGTTCGAGTGTCGTTACCAAACAAATTTGTTCCCAAAAGGAATAATGTAAATCAGATTAGTCTGTCCCAGATCCTCAAAAATATACTTACAAAATACACTTACATAACTGTTCGAGTTGGGAGCTGTACGAAACTCGGGATACCACTGTATATTCGCAGTGTGGAAATTAGTAGGTGTGGAGTTACTAAAAGTATTATTCAGAGAGCTGAAGAGGGGTTCTTGAAGTGGTCTGGTCATTTAGAGAGGATGGAGCACAACAGGATGACTTGGAGGGTGTATAAATCTGTAGTGGAAGGAAGGAGGTAGGGGTCAAACTAGGGAAGGATGGAAGGAGGGGGTAAATGAGGTTTTGGGTGCAAGGGACTTTGGACATACAGCAGGCATGTGTGAGCATGTTAGATAAGAGTGACAACAAATGGTCTTTGGGACTTGAACTGTTGGAGTGTGAGCAGGGTTAATATTTTGTTAAGGATTCTTGGAAACCAGTTGCCGGACACAGTCCTGGATGTGGGAATTACAATGCCTGCACTTTAACCCTTTCATGGTTTCAGCCATACTAGTACGGCTTACGCACCAGGGTTTTTGACGTACTAGTATGCCTAAATTCTAGTGCCCTCAAATCTAGTGAGAGAAAGCTGGTAGGTCTACATATGAAAGAATGGGTCTATGTGGTCAGTGTGCGCAGTATAAAAAAAATTCCTGCAGCACACAGTGCGTAATGAGAAAAAAAAAACTGACCGTGTTTTTGGAATAAAACAGCGACTTTGCACTGTATTTTCGTATGGTATTTATTGTTGTATTCTAGTTTTCCTGGTCTCATTCTATAGAATGGAAGATATATTACGGAAATTGAGATGATTCTGACTGATTTTACAATGAAAAGTACCTTGAAATTGAGTTCAAAGTAGCAGAAATGTTCGATTTTTACCAAAATTCAAAAGTAAACAAATCATGCTAAGCATCCAATACACGTCAACTGGCTCTGGTGGCCTGGTGGTTAACGCTCTCGCTTCACACGGTGAGGGCCTGGGTTCGATTCCCAGCCAGAGTAGAAACATTGGACATGTTTCTTTCCACCTGTTGTCTATGTTCCCCATCAGTAAAATGGGTACCTGGGTGTTAGTCGACTGGTGTGGGTCGCATCCTGGGACACTGACCTAAGGAGGCCTGGTCACAGACCAGGCCGTGGGGGCATTGACCCCCGGAACTCTCTCCAGGTAAACTCTCTCCAGGTAAGTGTGCCGCTATTATTTATACCAAAGTTTTTTTTTCTCATGCACTTTGTGCTGCAGGATTTTTTTTATACTGTGCACACTGACCACATAGACCCATTCTTTCATATGTATGCCTACCAGCTTCCTCCCACTAGATTTGAGGGCGCTAGAATTTAGGCGTACTAGTACGTCAAAAACCCCGGGTCGTAAGCCGTACTAGTACAGCCGAAACACTCAAAGGGTTAAAGGAGGGATTTGGGATATTTGCTGTTTTTGAGTGACATCTAAACTGTCATATCTACATGCCTCTGCAAAGATAGTGTAAATGATGAAATTTTTTTTTTTTTTTTTGGTGGGGAGGGGGGGTCAACTTGCCTAACTGGGAGACAGCCAGCATGTTAAGAAAAAAATATTCATGATCACTTTTCAAAAGTGCATATCATGGTCCAATGATCCACAAAAGTGCAAAATTTCCATCAAGTGTAGCCAACATCTCTCTTGCCCCCAGAATTCAAGTCTAGCTGGCCAATTTCCCTGAATCTCTTCCTATTACCATGCTCACACTAACAGGACATCAAATTCCAAAAACTATTTACCTTTATTCACTTCACCAACAATTACATATATGCCTGCTGGATCCTCAAGCCCCCTACCTCTTCCTTTACACTTTCCATTTCTAGCATCTAAAACTCACCTTTTGCAGCAATTCTAATATTCTTCATATATGTTGTGAGATTATCAGCCACAAGCACAACAAGGGAATGCTGATTTTGAAGTTTGGAGATGATATCGTGGCGGTAGCTAACATGTGGCGTAGGGCGCTGATGTTGAGAGAAATTGGGTGGTGCTTCACTATAAGAACAACATATCTCTCGTATCTGCTTCAAGGCTGGAAGTACCCACTTGTCATGCTTTAGTTCTTCAACGCATCTATCCAACCAGTGTTTCTTCTGAATATCTCTGTCCTGGAATGTTCAATAACGTAAGCAAACAATAATTTATCACATTAATATTGCCTTCCAAGATGAATACATTTATCCCAAAACCTAAACTGTTTGTGAATGAAGTCTATATACATTTCAAGAAAATATAAGAATGACCATGAAACTGTGCTGGCATGATAAATTCCTAGTATGAATTACAAATTTTTACATCTGCTGGTTTATACAGCACCATTTTTGTAAGTTTTGCCAATGAAAACCACATTTGAAGTTAAATTTACCATAAACACTACAGAACTCCATTAATGCAGGATTATTTTGAACGGCTAATTTGAAAGCACGACATACACAATGTAGTAGGAAAGTTAAGTGCCGTGAAAAATTGACAATTTGGATCATTAATCAACTTATGCTTGGAAAGATACTCAGTAAAAAGGGAGAAATATAAAAACTAAAAATAAATAATTTATACAAGCTTAATTGTGCAATGAGAGTAGTCTACTGGATTATATGCTGGTGTATAAAAAAGTGTTTCATTGAACTGAAACTGAAATCTGCAAATTTGAAGATAATTCTGAAATGGTTGGCATGCATGTTCAATATGTACAGTACTGGCATAATTGTGCATTTTTTGAAAATTCAATATTTTTCTACTAAGGTCAATTAAACCAATTTCACTGATTGCTCGTGGATTTATTTTGATACACCAGTAAATGTCAACTACTTAAAATTGATTAACCCTTTCAGGGTCAGTCCCATATATGTACGGCTCGATAGCCAGTGTTGGTCCTGTACTGGTGGACCAAAATAAATTAACTAGCAGTCAGTGAAATTGGTTAATTGACCTATTAGTACAAAAACATTGAATTTTCAAAAAATCCATAATTATGCAAGTACTGTACATGAATGAAAGATTGAAACGTCATAAGCAATTTCTTTGTATAACGGACAAGAGGATGAGCGAGTAATTTACAATAGCATGTAGCATGCATCGTTTGTTCTACAAAGTCTAAACATTCTAATGTCTTTCATAGTTTGGTGCATCTGGGAGAGATGAAAAAACTAATGTATAAATTACAGTTTGAATATTTTAGGAATAGGGTTATAAAAAAAAAATTACAGACTTGCTGGCCATGTAATAATTTGTATAAAAATAATACCATACCTGTGAGCATGAATAATCTAAAATCTTAACATGAGCATTTAGGGCCTGGTCCATTATCTCAGTTGGTACATCATCTGAATGGGCTAAGGACCACAGCAGAGTTAGAACCTGATGGAAACAAAGACCAAGATAGTTAAGAGAAAAACCCAAGTCTACACCACTAGCATAAGTAACTTAAAAAAAAAAAAAAAGTTACTGCCTATTGTAATCTCTGCAGTTTAAAGAAATGTTATTTTATTACATTTTAATACAAAAAGAGTAACATCAGGCAGTCAGAGACAATGTTTTACTATAGACTTGGCAGTAATACTTTAAGAGCCAAACCAATAAGTGAATTTACATGCTCAATTCATCAATTTTATTACAACCAATAAGTGAATTTACATGCTCAATTCATCAATTTTATTACAACCAATAAGTGAATTTACATGCTCAATTCATCAATTTTATTACAATGTATATGGTAATTATAAAAACTGACAATGCTATAAAGCTCACTTGACTTCATCTTTTCTAAAAGACATTTTATATTACTGCATCTAAAACCTCCCTAATTTAGTGTAAAAACACATCGAACTAGCAATTTACTTTACTATAACAGCATACTGAAACTGACTGCTTAAGTAAGAGAGAAAAAGAGGAAACAATATTAATGTTTGCCAGAGTTGCTTTCACAAATTATTTCAACAATCGACTTTTTTTTTTTCAACACATCTACTGTCTCCCACCAAGGCATGGTGACCTAAAAAAAAAAAGAAAAAACTTTCATCATCATTCAACACTTTCACCATCACTCATACATAATCAGTTTTTGCAGAGGAGCACAGATACAACAGTTTAGACTTTCCTCCAAATTGCCAATACATGTATCCTAAGCCCCTCCTTTAAAGTATAGGCACTGTACTTCCCATTTCCAGGACTCAAGTCTGACTAACCAGTTTCCCTGAATCCCTTCACAAAATATTACCTTGCTCACACTCCAACAGCTAGTCACGTCCCAAAAACCATTCATCTCCATTCACTCTTATCCAACACACACACACACACACACACACACACACACACACACACACACACACACAACACACACACACACGCACGCTTGCTTGAAGTACAAGCCCCTCGCCCACAAAACCTCCTTTACCCCCTTCCCTTCAACTAAAATGCCGGGAGCAATAGGCTAGTAACCCCTTTTCCCGTATAGCCTACTAAAAAGAAAAGAAAGAAAACCATCAAAGTGGGATGTTTGAATGTGCATGGTTGTAGTGCAAATGATTAGAGATGACTGTGAATATTATGAATGAAAAGAAGCTGGATGTCCTGGCTCTAAGTGAAACAAAGCTGAAGGGGGTAGGAGAGTTTCAGTGGGGTGAAATAAATGGGATTAGGTGAGGGGTTTCTAATAGAGTTAGAGCTAAGGAAGGAGTAGCAATAATGTTGAAGGATAAGTTATGGCAGGAAAAGAAGGAACATAAATGTATAAATTCAAGTATAAGGATTACATGGAGTAATACAAGCACTGGATGTGAAAAGAGGGTTATAGTAAGTGTTGATGTGCCTAGAGAAGAGAGAAGTGGAGAGAGAGAGAGAGAAGTGGAGAGAGAGAGAGAGAGAAGTGGAGAGAGAGAGAGAGAGAGAAGTGGAGAGAGAGAGAGAGAAGTGAGAGAAGAGAGAAGTGGAGAGAGAGAGAATGGAGAGAGAGAGAGAGAGAAGTGGAAGAGAGAGAGAGAAGTGGAGAGAGAGAGAGAAGTGGGAGAGAGAGAGAGAGAAGTGGAGAGAGGAGAAGTGGAGAGAGAGAGAGAAGGAGAGAGAGAGGAGAGAGAGAAGTGAGAGAGAGAGAGAGAAGTGAGAGAGAGAGAGAGAAGTGGAGAGAGAGAGAGAGAGAAGTGGAGAGAGACAGAGAGAGAGAGAGAAGTGGAGAAGAGGTGAGGAGTCCACACGCACAACCTGGCTATGGGAAAGAGGTAATTGGCCAGCCCTTTGCTCTGAGCTCGCCACCACTGACTGGAATGCTCTTCTCCAGGGGGATGTTGACAACCAAGTGAAAGCCTTCACTGGACACATCCTTAATCTGCAACAAGAACACATTCCTCACCAGCAATATGTGACAAAGCCTACAGATCAGCCTTGGTTTGGCTTTCGTTGTAGAGAGGCTGCTACTGCTAAGTACAAAGCATGGCGAAGGTATAAGAGACATCCTACCACCTATAACAGGAACTTGCACATGCAAGCCTGTAGGCATATGGGTGATGTTCAAAAGTGGGCCATTGCTAAATGGGAGGTGTGACACTAAAAAAAGTTAGCATCAGGTAGGGTAGGCTCCAAAACCTGGTGGTCCCTGGTCAAGGACAGACAAGGTTATCTGCCTGAATGAACTTATTCCACCTCTAAATCGACAGGATGGGACCACCTCTACTAGTAGTCAAGAGAAGGCGGACCTCTTTGCTGAACACTTTGCTACCAAAATGCAAGTTCCTGATCCAGCAAGTGACCCTCCTTGGCTAGCTGCGGGAACTGTGTCAAAACTGTCAGGGTGACAATGGGGGCAGGGGGGGTCCCATTTCCTTTTAAAAATTCCCCTTAAAAGGGAAAAAGGCGGGGGCCCGGGACAAGTGGGCCCAAATTGTTGGGGAAGTTGTGCAGCCCAAGCTAGCAGCCCCTCAAAACTCGAAATCTTTACACTGCCTAGAACAGTCCCAAATTCCCTCTCCAGGAAAGAGGCAAATGATTTCCCTTTTTTTTTCCACAAAAAAAAAGGCAGAGCAAAAATAAAGCAATAAAAGGACCAGGGGGTTCATTTCCTGTCAATCACGGTAAGATCCTTGGGGAAAATTTAATCTCAAGACAAAGGACAGTTTTTTTTAACAAACCACTAAATACTTTGTGATGTAAATAGGGCTTCGGGAAAAGGGTTTTTACTCGGGCTGCTGATCTGTTTTTTTTAAACCCTCTCCACTAAGTGGCCCCGTCCCCGGTTAATCCAAATCACTGTGGGGTAGCACTGGACTTTGCTGGCCTTTCGCCCGGGGTTTTGGGCCCGGGGCCTCTTACCCAAAACTTAAAGAACTGGGAATTGCGGCCCTTACGCTATGTTTTTCGTTTTTCCCTTCTGGTAATCTCAAAGTGTAGCCCCTCAATGGAAGGGAAATTCAGCAAGGCATCCTTTTGGGGGCAAGCGTTCCACAAGGAATGTGTGGGCCCAATGTTATGGTTTGTTTTTAATTTTTCGCCCCCAAACCCCCCCACCCCCCCCATCTCCCCCGAATCACATGCTTTATGCAGACGACTGCCCACGCAAAAAACTTAGCCAAGGGAAGAAATCCCAGTGCTCTAAGCTCTTTAAATCACCAGCTGGGCTATATTCAGTTTGGGGGAAATAGTTTGGCAAGTAACATTTAAACCTGGGGAAAAACAAAAAATGATGATCGTCTCTGGGGGCCCAGGGAATGGAATGCTGGTGCAGTAGTAAGGATGAAGGGGGACGAGTTGGCACCTGGAGAAAATTTTGATTTTCCTTGGGGGGGAAATTTGACTCCAAACTAACCAGAAAAACCCTTGTTTAAATTTGCAAAAAAGGCACCGGAAGTTTTCAGCACTTGCCGTATCCCCCATCGCTTAAACATTGGGGGTTGCAAGCCGTACGAAGCACAAGTACGTCACCCCTTTGGAGTATGCTCCACTTTCTTGGTTTGCCTGCCCCCCCTCTCATCTCCCGGACTGCTTGACAGAGTAGAGAACAGAGAAAAGACGTCCATCTTCCCCTTTGGACCCACCTGGATAGATCTGTCTTTTCAGCAGAGCCTTCAACTTTGGAGGGATGTGGGGGGCCCTTTTACTTTTTTTGTACAAGGAATTTTGGGCAAAATACCACACTTGGATCCACTTCAGGACAGCGTGAAACAAGTTTTTATGCCAAAAGACGGGCGGGAAAGCAGCAATTTCCCACTTGGCTGTACCCTTCCCAGAACATCACTCCATCTGAGATCTTGCATCCCCAAAGGATGACTCGAGTATGGAACACATTCGTACAGCAAAATGAGTAAAAGAATAACGTCAGTTGATCAAAGTAAATGCTGGCCCACAGATGGCTCCAACTTCTTCCGGGTTTCCCTACTTGTATGTCTCTTAAAAAAATTTAAAATTTTTTCAAATGACCCTGATGTAGGAAACAGCTTTTTAGTTGTAAAAAAAAATTTTGGAAACCCTTTTAACCTTTTTAAAAAAATGCCCAATTTAAAGCTGGGGACCCTTTAAACCTTGTAAAACCCTTTGTGAAAAAAAAAAAAAAAGAGGGGGAGAGAGGGGAGAGAGAAGTGGAGAGAGAGAGAGAGATTTGAAAGAGAGAGAGAGAGAAAAATGGAAAAGAGAGAGAGAGAGAGAAAAAGTGGAGAGGAGAGAGAGAGAAGTGGAGAGAGAGAGAGAAAGAGAGAAGAGAAGTGGAGAGAGAGAAGAGAGAGAGAGGAAGGGGAAAGGGGAAGAGAGGGGAAAAGAGAGAGAAGTGGGAGAGAGAGGGGAATTTGGAGAGAGAGAAAAGGGGAAGTGGGGAAAAGAAAAGGGGGAGGGGGAAAGGGGGAGAAAAGAGGGGAAAAGGAGAAAGTGGAAAAAGAGGGGAGAGAAAGTGGAGAGAGAGAGAGAGAGAGAATTTGGGAGAGAGAGAGAGGGGAGAAAGGGGAAAAGGGAGAAGAAGAGAGAAGGGGAAAGAGAGGAGAGGAAGTGGAGAGAGAGAGAGAGAGTGGAGAAAAAGTGGGAGAGAGAGGAGAGAATTTGGAGGAGGAGAAGGGAAAAGAGAGAGAAGTGGAGAGAGAGAGAGAGGAAGGGGGAAGAGAGGGGAGACCCCCAAGGGGAAAGAGAGGAGAGAGGAGAGGAGAGAAAAGAAGAGAGGGGGGGAAAAGAGAGAGAGAGAAAAGGAGAGGGGAGAGAGAGAGGAAGTGGGGAAAAGAGGGGGGGAAGAGAAGGGGAAGAAGAAGAGAGAGAATTGGAGAGAGAGAGGAAGAAGTGGAAGGAGAGGAGAGAGAAGTGGAGGAGAGAGGGGAAAAGGGGTTGGAGAGAGAGAAAAGAAGTGGGAGAGAAAAGAGAAAGTGGAGAGAAGAGAGGGGAAGGGGGAAGAG